GGTGGTCAAGTGCGCAAGTTTACAGGGCATTAAACGTGTCAGCTAAAAATAAAAGCTGTCTGACTCGGGAATTGAGCCCGAGGCGGGGCTCGAACCCGCGACCTTGAGGTAGTTCTTTGACAAGTAAGAGCCACACGCTCTACCGATTGAGCTACCCGGGCGTTCCACAGCTTGGCCCGAATACATCTATGTCGTAAATTTATTTCGTAAGTTAACCGCAGAGTAGATCTTAAAAACTTGCCATAAACTGAACACTACTGTCAGTCTGCGGAAATAATCGAAAGGTAGAAAATCGCACCTCTCTTTCAGAGCCCTCGAATAATATATTTGCACACATGTTCACCGCCCGCAGAAGCTACCTAACCTCGTAAAGAAGACAGTATAATGGCTCAGTTCGGTTTTTAATGTGCTGCCAGTGTTGTAACTCCCTAACGCGGGGGGACTATTCTCAACACCTGTCAGTGGTGTCCCCTACGAACCTCCAGCTCTCACTGTAGAGTCTGCGGAGCCGAGATTGAGTAAGAACGTGCTCACTTCGATGAGGATTCCCAATCACTTTCGACGTCTATATCGTCTTCATCTCTCAACACATTCCCCTATCACCACTATCATGAAGCTAACCACGATCAGATTAGATAGTAGGGTTGAAGCCTTTCTCGTCACCAACCCTTGGTCGTGGAGGAAAATCTGTCCGATGAGTTTCCGGAGCGTACCCAGCACCCGATACGGCGATGGTGGATTGGACCAAGATGGCCTCGACTATGAAAAAGAAGGGAGATATAGATAAATATGCGCACCTCATGTAGTCCCGGTGTCTAGACCTCACTTGGCTGGTGCAGCAAGGTTTTCGAGACTTTTTACCGCGCACGCAGTTTTCATAGCTATCATTTTATTTTTTTTGTGTAGAAGGTTCCGTGGAAAATGTGGCCGAATTCCACGGGTAAACACTGAGCTGAATGGCTATTTATTATGGGGAATATATCAATGATCTTTCAAGTAACAAAAGAGGATGGGAGCACTGTACAAGGTGTGGGCTGGATCGGAGAGGAGCCCAATGTGCTAGATAGTCATAGACTCAAGTAGTACAATAAACACGCAAACACTCTCACAATTTTTTGAAATTCGAAATTTCGAATCTTCACCATTTCCTCCTCTCGCGCTCGTCGCATTCCCTCATTAAATTGTCATCGAGTCGCTGGCATTTTAACCATGCCACCTGTTCGTAAAAAGCGTCCCAACCCCAAGTTGGACAACACGAGAGTCCGCCCGAGGGCTCTCAATCAATTATCTGGCCTTGTCCAGTCTCCGAAATGCGTGGGGATGAGCATGGCCTCAATGAAAGGGAAAGGAAAAGTCATCCCGCCGCCGCTGAGCCCGATACTGACATGGTCGGGTCAGTTGAAATTGTTGAGGAAATTCCTCAACGAGTCTCCATCCCCCACGGGATTGGATAACCGTCCAAACCTCCTCCAACCACGCAAATACCCTCGGAGAACGCTGCACCCAAAGCAGCGTCAAATTCAAAGTCGCAGCCCAAAGCTGCCACGAAAGCAGATTGCCCTCCGGAACTTCGACCAATTGTCGAAGCCGAACAACGACGCGCCGTCGAAACAGCGGCAAATCTGGCCGTCTGCTCCGCCGCCATCTCTGGCATCGAAGCAACCCTCCTCCCTTTAACCAACGGGTCAAAAAGACAATTCGTAGACTCGATGAGAGTCTACCTACGCGCCGCCATTGCGCAATACATAGCCACGGGCCCGGCCTCCACGCCACCCGTCCTCCCTCCTCGCCCTGCGAACCCGACCCCAAGGGCTCTAGAAGCCAGGAGCACACCCATTCCCGCCGTCCCAGCTCTGCCTGTGAAAAGCACCTGGGCCACGGTGGCCAGAAACGGAATGCGACCTGTGGCAAAAGCCCTAAATAAAGAAGCTCCCAAGGCGAAAGTCGACAAATGACTGTTCCTTCGCCTGGAAAAGAAGCAACCTTGACGCCAGCTTTCGACTCTCGGAATAAGGCAATAACTACAGATCAGGCTGGAGTGCACCTTGAGTGACGCCTGCTCTATACACCGTGTCAGAACCGGCTTTGCTATTCTGACAAGGAAATAAGGGAAGAGTTCCTAGAGGCTACACCGAAATCGGCGGAATTCAACGCCAAGTTCGAGGAAGCCTCCAACCTTGTCGCCTTTTGGATTGCGAATGTTTCAGTGACTCTGAGAACGGTCGTCGGTATCTATACGATCGATGCGGAAAGGATCATATATGAGATATACAGGAAAACGCAGCAGTTTCCAACCCAGGTGCTACCGCACAGGACATGCCGTCCTAGAGCGCCGTACAAAAATTGGAAAGCCCTGTTCGCCCGGGACTCCGCCCCTCGCGCGGGCTTCCGTGTTCTCGGCGAGTCTGGAGTGGCGACCATTCTAAAGCCTCGTCGAAAAATTAAACAGTGCAAACGCTGTTTGGGCTTCCACGTCACCCGTGGTTGCTCCCGTGCTCCAGCCTGCTGGAATTGCGGATCAAATATGCACTCGGAAGACGAGTGCAAGGCCCTCGCCAAGTGTCGCAACTGTGGGGGACCTCACCGATCGGATTTGCAGGTCTGCCAAGCCAGACCCAACAAGACAGGACTGGTGTCAAAAGAGCAGCTCGAGCGGATCCGTCACATCCAGCAAGGGGAGTTCGTGAAGGTGGCACGAGCTCGGGCAGCAGCTAAAAAAGCCGAAGTGGCGGTCATCGCCGCGGCGAAGGATGTCTCGATGGCCAAGGCAACAGGTTTCGTAGTGTTGGAATCTAAAGAAGATACTTGAGGGAATAGCAACGTCGATGATGCCTCTAACAGTCATCTACTAACCAATAGCAGGATACCGGCTGGATTAAAGGTACCTGCTAATCCATCTTTTGCTCTCAGCGGAGTTGGGCAAATTTGTCATTTGGAAGGTGTGACGGACGAGGGAATGTGTGAGGAGCACATTGCTTGGGTCCAATATGGAGGAATCTTCTGGTTTTCGGAGTTGTTTTGATTTTCTTGATTTTTCGTTTCAGTTTAATCAGCTGCACTTTTGGCAGAGATTCACGAGGTTGGAACGAGTTAGACTGTAGGAAAAATTACAGGGAACCCTGCCGGCTCCACCGCTCCTTGACCCAATGTGGAAAAGAAAGCGTTAGCTTAGGACCAAAAATAATAAAACAAAAAAACTCTCCCTAGCGCATCGGGCTTCCTGTAGGTTATGCTAGATATTCTACAGTGCTCCTTGGGTTTTCCGGTACCAAAAAGTCACCCTGATATGTTGACAATGATATATAACCTATCAGCTCAGTATTTACCGGTGAGGGAAACCAAGTTGGTGATGAGCAAGTCATTTTTTAAACTAGATGAAGAGGGAAGAGATCTCTAGCTGCTACTAACAGGATCACGTGACTGTTCATCCACTTCATAAATCTGCTGAAAGTTATCTTTCCCCTAGGCCTAACAAATGCTACCGAGCCGAGTATTATCAAGAGCCATTGCGCTATGACGTTGTCTCGACATCCTGGCTAATAATGATATTTAATCCATCATTGTATATCCCTTCGAATTCAGTCCTATCGTGATTAAGCCCAACAAAGCGCTTCGATTTTCTCATAGGCTCAAACAACGATCAAACCATAGCATCACCCCTAGAATCTAGCCACCTCTTCTACGGAACCTTCTTCCCCCTAAAAATAAGATGGTAGCGATGGAAACTGCGTGCGCGGGAAAAAGTCTCAAAAAAACCTGCAGCCCCAGCCAGCCGAAGCCTAGACACCGGGACCACATGAGGTGCGCACATTCATCTATATCTCCCTTCTTTGTAACAGTCGAGGCCATCTTGATCGAATCCACCATCGCCGTATCGGGTGCTGGGTACGCTCCGGAAACTCATCGGACAGATTTTCCTCCACGACCAAGGGTTGGTGACGAGAAAGGCTTCAACCCTACTATCTAATCTGATCGTGGTTAGCTTCATGATAGTGGTGATAGGGGAATGTGTTGAGAGATGAAGACGATATAGACGTCGAAAGTGATTGGGAATCCTCATCGAAGTGAGCACGTTCTTACTCAATCTCGGCTCTGTAGACTCCATAGTGAGAACTGGAAGTTTGTAAGGGACACCACTGACAGGTGTCGTGAATAGTCACTCAAAGTATCCTTGTAACATGGTAAAGTACTATATTTGATCGACGCTAGCGTCTCTACGGAAAAGTGATTCAGAGCTGACAGTGTCATGGGCTCAGGCGTAGAGCTGTTGATGATGAAGACAATTCGCGCTTCAGGTTGACTACCGCAGGTTTCCGGGACAGTCGGACATGATATTGCTCAATACAAGGATGCTTTCTGGGGTGGTCCGGTTATTTTGGTGGGGCGAAGTTGATATACTTGACAGTTATCCTGTTTCAGCTCGGCGTCTCTAGTGCCACTAGTCTAGCACCCTAGCATATAAATTAAAGCTTCAGGCGATAATTCTAGCATCTTATTCTAAATATTGATACTGGGTGTGGGCGGGCAGTTGGAAATCACTTTACAAAAACAATTCTTTGAACTTTCATGTCCTAGGGGCATCTTCCATAGCTCACCAGATATCCACGCTAACTTAGTGCAGGCTCTTTATAATTCGAACCACTCTAGGGCATCTTCTACGCTGTCTTAGAGTATCCTCATTGGGTAACCAACGACGAAATTGTAACAATCTAAACTAGAGACGGCAGATTAAACGTAAATTCAGACTCAATCTAAGAGGAGTGTTGACTGATGGGATAACGAGGTTGGAATGTAAAAATGTTTTATGCTCCTAGATATTCCTCATCTATCAAAACTACCCAATGTAAATAAAACAAGAATTTATAGCTCTGTTATGAGACTTTCCGAAACTCTAAAAATATAATACTACTGGATGATCATTATTTTAAGGTCCAAACTTCTATTCTTCCTTTGTGAAGGCATATCTTATTGTATCATTGCCATTATTGTTGGTTTTGCTACTAGACTGACTGAATCTTTGGCTTTGTATGGATAGGAATTGACGGAGGCTCATAGTTGGTAGCTATTTTAGGAGAGACTTGATTGACCCTCTTCCTCGGAGGAATCGGTGGTACTTTCCTATCTATGACAGTTTTAGCGAAGCTTCCGGCCTGATCAAAAGATCGAAGTCGAGTGCCTGCTACTGTAGCATGCTGAGGACTTTCGACTTCATCAGATGTTCGATTGCCTTGTAACCTCTGGGCTAAATGCAGCCCAGTTTTGACCTGATTACCATGCCTTTCTTGAAAACTCTTTGCAGTCCCTGCAGCTGTTTTAACATCGTGAAAAGAAACAGACGATGGATTATTTCGTAAAGATGATACGGTTTTGAGAGCAGCCCGTTTCTCAGCAAAGGTCGTTCCCTCACTAACACTAGCAGATTTAGGAGAGGTTAGCGATGTGATGGTAGAAGGACAAGATTGAACATTTTCTAGAGGTGATACGTTTCGGGGCGTAGAAAGATATGATCTTGCTAGAGCCGATGATTGAAGGCAGGACTGTTTAATTGAGGCACCCCCGGAAAGACTGGGCCCATTTTTCGAGATCTCTTTTGGTAAATCAAGGCTGTCAGATACAGAGGAGGCGATTAAGGATGAAGCCTTTCTTGGGGGAAGCCTCGGAGGTGGCCCAGGCTTTGCTTCAGGGCAATTTTCCGAATTTCGTCTTTCACCATCCAATCCGTTAAGGTGGAAATTTCGAGGGGTGCTCTGTAAAGGTTTAGACCCTGAGCTATTATCGCGAGATGGCACAGGTGGTGGTAACTTTCTTTCTTCAAGGTCCCCTATCTGCTTTTTCTCGCTCGGCCATGTAGATAGACTTTCTTTTATATCTGAGGTGGCATGATTTTGGATGGTAGTATCTACATATGAGTTTATTCTTTTTGGAGGTGGCTTGAATGTAGAAGGGTCTTTATAGCTCACCGCAACGCGGGATTCGCGATCATTTGTCGTTTTCTGATCCCTTTCTTTGCCCATCCAGCCAGCTACTTGATCCAGACCTTTGAAATCGTCTCTCAACCTATTTGTTAGTTTACCATCTTTATTTCGCGTATTCCAGGAACTTTTTACTTTGTCCTTGAAGTTCGACATCTCGGATGTTGTTTGATGATCAGATGACAAAATAAGATTACGATGCCTTTCTCACATGTTTATGCAAGGGATGTCTGTGCGGGTAGCGCCGCACTTAGCGACATATGTCTGCAGTATAGGGTGGGGTATTATATCTAGGCTCCATGACTTTATGGTATATCATCTTGGGAGGTCCTCAAGTATACATGTATGACAAGGCCAGCTAACCTAGAGCGAATGGGAGTAACCTGAATTGAAGACAGCAAATCTGGTCAAAGATACCTACAGTTCATTAATAGTATGAAGTAGTTCAGGTTTACTCGAATTTGTAAGCAATGACAAAAAATTATTTGATCGACGACTTCTCGTTACTATCGGGTTTGTCGTTCTCACGAGAGTCCTCTACCTTAACCTCTCTACACACCACCCCGCCTGAATGACTGATAAAGGCGTTACTTCAATTGCAAACGGAATCTCGCCCTATTAGTCATCAGCCATCTCCCACTACAAAAACACGACGCTACGTATACCAGCATCGAGGAAATTAATCCATAACATACAAAGATTAGCTCTTACTTCGTGAGGGACTGTTCCTCGAATGGGGTCATACATCTTGATTAAGTACAGGCGATCGGGGCATGGAGCATGGAATAAGGTAGGGAAGAGATTTCTCGTGGGCATGATTGGACTGACAATTTCAAGGGAGTTTCGTCTTGGTATGTATGTGGGCGCCAAAGCAATGGTTTCGAGTAACCAGCTATGAGGGCTTCTATTGTCGATGAGTCTACAGCGCTCCCGCGTACCCCAGATGAGACAAAAGAAGTTGGGCTGAGCTACTGTACAGCAATCACGTTCTGTTAAGACTTTGCTGATAATTCAGTACGACCTTCGGGAAAGAGGCTGGAAAGGCAGATAGTGAATTTCCTGAAATACACACAAGTCTGCAGCGCCCAGCTAGCCGGCCTCTCCGAACGCCAGGAGGGGCACGACGTCTTCGGATTTAGTCCTAATGTCGGTATTAGGAGAGCTCCGCACCCAGTGGCTTTTGCGATTTTCTCCGGCTGCCATACACGCGCAAATGGTCATCAGTTCGTTGGCTAGAGAGGGGAGATAGTGGAGGGCAAGGTTTCTCTGAGTGTATGATCAAATGAGGACTTGTGAGGGGTGGTACTGTTTAGTTATCCTTAGCCTGTAGGCAGAGAGGACCTGCATGAGGAACCCAAAGCACAGACAATCAGGAGCTAGGGACGAGGTACGAGCGACGTCTTACCACTAGTGGGGGAAGGCGTGATCGTCACTCAGAGCCTTTTTTTTTTTTTTTTTTTTTTGCATCAGATTTTAATTGCGTATGCAGCTATCTAGCTATGACACAATATCAGAGAAGTGTATGATAGATGACTCAATTTACAAGAAGAGCACTCATGCCTCGGATTTCATTTGCAAGTACCACTGCGAAGTTATGGTGGCTTTTTCTTCACCCCAAGTCAACCCTCATCCGTGAATACCCACCCAGGGGAACATCTCAAAAACCCTGGGTTATCCAGACATGCCTCCATCATCTTTCAACCTTTCTCCGCGCGATATGTGATCTGAGGTGTCTCCTTCCCAAGTGGAGTAGGTGCCCAGGCTACTCAAACTATACCAGAGAACACCACCAGGAGGCGGACCACAACACCTTCCATCGTTTGCTTGTTTTTATAGTGTCAACTGCACTCTCGCAAGCGAAGTCTTGGCGCGCACAAAGCCCAATTCGAAAAACTCCTTGCCAAAATTCGGAATTTCACGCCCTTCGAGGTTTTATCCTTCCTTCGTATCATCATGTCGACTTATCCTGATTCCTCTCAAGTCCATCTCAAATAACTATCTCCCAGATTTGTGCGCCACGCTTTGCTTCCTCCGTCGGGTATAAATATCGGCGTGGGCGTGTATTTGGCGGTCAACTGAGGCCAGAGAAGGTCGAAGAGCGGTGTGGTCATCGGGATGAGGATGTACTTGGTCGTACTTGTAGACTTGATGAGACGAAGATAGGAGTCAAACTCGTTGGGAGCGAAATAACGACGTGGATAAGTAATTTGGATTTTTGCCTCGTGGGCCAACTTCTTTGATATTGCGAAATTTGACTGAACTTGGCTCTGGGAGAATATTTCACTCCCAGGTTCGTAGAGGACACCGCGTACAGGTGTTCAGTCTTGCCCTCCGTCACTCAGAGCCATAGCATAGGATGTATATAGGGTGTAGTATTCGATTGAGGAAAGGCTAGACGATCTTCTACTTAATTTAGACTTAGATATTGATTACCCTGTGAATCTGATATTGTGAATCCCGAGCGATAACAGTCTTAATCACATGCTAGTACCAATATGCATGTCCTATTTAGTTCTTGGCTCAGAAAATAAAGTAATTTAATGATAATAAGTTGTTCAGTCACAACAAGAGGAAGCGGCAGGAAGGCAGCTCTAATGCAGAGATAAAAGAAGTAGTAGGCTATAAGAAAAGGGTGTGTACCGTGGTGCCACGGTGTCAAGTTTGCAGTGGGGCTACGGCAGGGTTTTTAGCTTGTAAATTAATACACCTTAGGCATAGTCACCTTCCATATTGGAGTTAGCCCCCATATTTGTGCAAATTTTTGAAAAGTTTTGTACGGCAGTTTTTATCTGGACACCACAGTTTGCAGTGGGTCTTTCCTTCGTACTAAACCTAATTTGTATAATGATCGGCTGCATAACATTTGTGCATTTTTGCTACTTGACTTTATAACTTATTTACTAGAGTTCAAGGGTTTTCAAATTACAAAATAGAGCCAGTCTTATCCCAACCTTAGATCTGAACATGTGGCTAGAATATTTTCAGGCCTTAATATCTGGTCAGTCCCCCATCCGCATCTACCACAGCCTGACATCTTGCTGGCATACTCTGTATGAGTCTCACAAGATCTTCGGAAGACACGTAATCCCATGCCTCCTTTACAATGTTGCGAAGACTATCTTGAGTTCGCTGCTTTCCGCGACCCAGATTCGGATGATGACGCTGGATGTAATCTTTCATTCTATTCCAAACAGCTTCAATCGGGTTAAGATCAGGCGAGTTGGCCGGCCAGAAAATCGGTTGAATGAGCCTCTGGCTGATATCTTCCATTGTAATTGCGGCTGTGTAGGCAGGAGCATTATCCTGCATTACGGAGAGCCAAGGTCTCATCGAGACCATGCCATCGATAAGAGGAACTATCTTCTCGCAATATTTTTGGGAGTTAATGGAACCCCATTCATTCTCCCAAAACAAACAAGGGCCTTTTTCTGGCCCTGCGAAGCAACCCCAGAACATCCATTCGACCCTATTCTTCGATTTTTCTCCAACACAATCAGCGTTGTATTCTTGGGAAGTCTAGCTCATAATGTTAGAGCATCAAATTACCATCTTCTCATTGAAGAATGTACGAACACTTCCTGTCACCCATTCTCTAGAATGTCTTTCATCCTCTACCCAAGTTTCGTCTGTCCATAAAACTGACGTCCAGTCTTCATACGTTCAATTGAGATGAGCTTCAGCCCATTCTCTGCGTGTCTTCATAGTTTTCTGAGATACTGGAGGCTTTAGACGAGCCACATGTCGCTGATATCCTTTTTTTTAAGTTCTCTTTGTATTACCCGCTCGCTAACACCAAGATATCTAAAGGGGCTAGAGGCGAGTTCCAGAAATGTTTTGCGGCGGTTTCCAGGTGAAGTCTTAACGTAAGATATAATCTAATCAACATCATCTGCTTTCAGCCTTGAGGATGTTCTTTTTCTCTTTTTGGGGGAGATAGTTCCGCGGCGCAGTGAATAACTAACTTGTCCCCGAGAAATGCCTAGTTCCGCGGCAATCTGCGTCTGTTTTTTGCCAGATTCATGAAGCCAGTAAATCTTAATTTTTCTTTTAATTTTTATTTTAATTTATATTTGTTTATATCTAATTTTTCTACATACTAAAATGTTTTGATCTCTGGATAATTGTTTGATTCGAGGTATTGAAGGTGAGGTTTTGTTGAAATCTAGACATGCCAGACCGAACTGCACGCAGTGCGGAGTAGACGAAGACTACTCATCTCCGATCGCTACCAGCTTTGGTGAGGTCTCGTTTGGTAATGATCTCGGTGGTGTGAATGTTATTCCATCACGTAATCAGAACACAATATTTCTACCTAAGCGAGGTAGAACATAGATGGACAATTAGATGTAGATTAAACACTAACACTTTTAATTACCGAAATATAAGTTCAGTAAAACCAAAACCTCACTGATCCTAACCTTTTATCTCTGATCCTTAAATCCCCAATATCTTACGATTCGTACAGTATTGACTTGACTGTAAACGTTCACTTCTATCATTCCAGATACCCCCAAGAACTTTAATAGGTTTGAGATGGTATCATCTGTAAAATAAGGTTATTATCGAGTAAATCCATGTGTCTTCTGAATACATAACTTTTTATTTGAGAAATCTAATTCTTATTGTAACTCAAACACAAGGTGAGAAGAGCTGTGTAATTTTTTAGCGGTCGGCGCTCATCAAAGAAATGGGAAAGAACTAGAGAGCGGGTTGGATTTGCATAAAACTGAGGGTGACATGAAATCAAATTGTGCCCTCGGTTTAGGCCTGGAAATACAGGACAAGAATTATGTACCCTGTCGAAATTGGCGCTAATAGGGGTGCAACTCCTGTAGCGAATATGCGCCCCATATATATATTATTCATTTTTCCTGATTTGGCGCCTTGAGGCCCATGCAGGTTTTATCGGAAGATATGTACTTATGTAGGATGACTCAGTTTGACATTTAGAACACTCACACTCAGATTTCATTTGCAGATACCACTCGAAGTTAACCCTTACGGCGTATAACCTCTTCCGTGCATACCCACCATAGGGAAAAGCGTGAAAAACCTGTGGCCATCCGAGTGTACTTTCATAATCCCACTGTGACGGGCTGTGCCCGGATTGGGACTGGTCACTAGGACCACCCCGGCTAGATATTTAAGCGACAACG